TGCACCTATTGTTTCTGCTTTGTGGAGTTTCACATAACATTTGAGCTTTCCTTCCACATGGCAACCTTCCAAATACAGTGTTTAAAGACATTTTAGTTTTTCATTTTCCATGTGTTTTCTCATTTCTAGAATTTTTTTTCTAAATTATTGGATCTGTGTAACAATCCTCCATTTTTATGAGGACAGTGTTGGATAGCTATCTAAATACCAATTCTCAACTCCTTTTTCTTTCACTTGCTTCCAAAATAAAGTTGGGAAAGCAGTTAAGGGTAGCCAATTATGTTCAAGGAGATGTAAGAATAACTCAACTGGAAACTTTCTAGGAAAGCATTTCCTATTAAAGCAATCTTTTCAAGTGACCTTGTCCCTTCCCCTTTTATCTCTTTCCTTCCTAGAGTGAGTGAGGATATGATGACTGGGGCTACAGCAGCCATATTGCAACCTTGAGATGCTGAGATTAAGAGCAAAATTCAGCAAGCTAAAGCCACAGGAGTGAAATAATCCAAAAGAGTCTAAAATTTTTGACCATGTTCAGCAGCTTGCAGTGAATTATTTCAGTACCTTTGTGCATCATATCCTAACTATTTATATTATTGAAACCAATGATTCTGAAACTTTAGCATGCATCACAATCTTGTTAAAACACAGATTTCTGGGCCCTGACTCTGGAGATTCTAATTCTATAATTCTGGAAAGGGGCTTGAGAATTTGTACTTCCAGGAAGTTCTCAGGTGGTAGGGGTGGTGGGGGCACACTTTGAGAACTCCTAGTTTAAACCATGTTTCATCTGATTTTCTCTTCCTTTCAGCTTACAACCTTCCTTACTAAATAGAAATAAGAATCACTATTTGATTTTGAATTGCTCTTAAAGTGTTTCATCAAATTTCAAGAAAGGACTTCTGAAACTCTTTTTCATTCTAGAGACCATCCACACATCCACTGCAGCTGGCATAGTTACCCGAGTCCCAATCGGTCTGTGGGACTTTCAGCGAAATTTCATTATGTGCAGAGCACTATGGGGATTCAAGGAAGGCTGAGATAGTGTCTCTGCTCCCAAGGAGTTGAAAGTCTGGATAGGAAGTGGCAGGCAAATATAAAGGAGATACCACTTTCCATTCTCATCAGATATTGCCTTTTCCAAGGAGTTTTCAAGTGTATCAGCATAGTCAATACTGAAGATAATGTGAAGGAGCCAGTTTATCACCCGTTTGACTGGTTAACAAAGAAAGCCCAAACTAACAAAGAACAAAATCAGACCTAGGAATTTTAACTCCTAACTCAAGGCACAAGACATCAGGCAAATGCTTGTAACGAACATTTACCATTTCTGTCTCCTCCCTTTTCAGGACAATAAAAAAAGAAAATGAACTTTACTGTGTTCTAACAATTTGAGGTCATAAATTGCCTTTCACCCAGCATAAATGACAACTGAATCTTGGAAAATTATCTCTAAGAATCTCTTTTAAAAAGTAACTTCAAGTGAGGAGAGATGTTCAGGACTGCTGGGTATCATTGCATATTTGCACAAAGGTGGTCAGAGAAGACTGACATCCCAGACATTTTCCTGCCCCACCACAGGCAAGATGACCTTCATCCACAAGGAGGGTATTTTTCATCAGCCTCAGGGGAGAGGGAACCAGAACAGCCTGGCTACTCCGAGTGCCATGAAAATTTCAAAACGTCCCCTTGGAACTCCATTTGGAAAGAAATATGGAGCAGGCAGACTGTTTGAGAAGGTTATCAACCTTCAAGAAACTTTGAACTTTGAATTGACAGAATACTTACTCAAAAGAGATTCTTTGAAACCAGAAGAGACTGGGTTAACTTTGATTTTAAACTTAAGTCCTCCATCTTCTCTTCTGCCCTCCTTTTAACCAATTCTAGAATCAGGGTTGGGGACTCGTGAAGAAATTGTGGAATTTCAGATAAATAGATGAGCTGCTTTTTTGTATTTGTTTTTAGACATCTTAATTGTGAGTTATGAATTTCAATTTCACCACATACGTAAAATTTGCCACATACTGCAAAAGGTAAAAATTAATCCCAATAGGGATTTATGCATGATACCACACAGCAAGTGCAGAGTAAAGTGTAAGTTCTTGCCCTGGAATTGCTTACAATCTAAAATAGAGAAAACAGACAATGATAAAAACATTTTTTTTTCCATTTAACTAAAGCAATTCTGAATTCATTACACAGGGAATAGTGTTCATTTTCACAATTAAATTGTATTCAGTCTTTTCCTTAAATATCTTTCTCTGGTTTAGACATTTTAAAATTCATGAGCTATAGCAATAAATACAATAAAACTTTTCAGTGTTAAAGAATTTTACTTGGTATGCTATAAACATGTGTGAATTGAGAACCGTGTAGACAAGAGATGTAAACAGAACAACAGCCTTTTAAAAACTATGTTATTTTAGAAAAAAATGTAAATAATTTCTATTCAGAGCTGGAATTGTAACTGAAGTAGACTATTGCCCATATGGTATAATTTGCATAGTAATATTTTTTTCTCTTTTCGATTACTGAAATTCAACCATTAGTGATTCATTCTCTAGGTACAAGCATTGTGGTCTTTCTGTAGGCCTTTTAAAATGCAAATGCGTGTGGAAGAGTGCAACCAAATTAAGCTCTTCACAGTTTAGCGTGGTTGATAATATCAGATGGATCCTTTTCTCAGCATAGCAACGTAAATGTTTTTAAGTGGAGTGAAACACACAACGTAAGAGATTAAAAGTTGGAGGAGGAAGCAGACGTTCAGAAGTTAGTGGAGAGACAGGTCTGAAAGTTAGTGCCCTCTACGTCACAATTATGGCCACAGCCATTTTTATTTTATTATTCTGCATGTAGGCGCTAACTGCTGCGATGGCCACACCATCTCATGAACTTAATAAAACTTATTCCTATAGGATGTCTGACTTGTGACCGTCAGACCCTTGAACCCTGGAGTCCTCCAATGTTCCTCCGCTTCAAATCTTCAGGTGACGAGTGGAGAGAAAAGGACTGAACTGGAGCTTGCATAAAAATCCTAGAAGGTTTTTAAGGCCAAGACTTGGTGCCCCAGTGTTTTCTGTTGATATTTCCTTGGCCAAAAATAATCATTAGACTTCTTCGAGACAGGGGCTGCGGAAAATAGTTTTTCCATGTTCCTCAGAGGAAAAGTACATGGTTTGTTAATCATATAGTACCTTTTTTTTGCCACCGTTAGCTTTCAAAATTAGTAATGGGAATAGCCATCTTAAATGCAAAAAAAGTTTCTAACATTTGAAGTAGAACAGACATTTCCTTGGCTCGCAGGAATTCCCAGGTGGGAGAACTTACTAGTCATCTGTGACTTTGTTCATCTATCAGTAAGCACTGATTGAGTTCCTGTTACACCAAATATGCAAAATTGCAAATGCTAACTGTTGACTATATATATATATACTGTGTATGAGACTCTGTGTTGCCTATGATAAATACAATTAAGTACGGTAAGTATATTAGGAGCTGTTTTATTTGGTGCAATCGGGATTCAGAAGGCAAAAGTCAGTTAAAATAGGGTGTATATGACTGAAACATTGTTAGTTTTAACTTAGTACACATGAGCGACACATGTTCACCAGCTGTTGCATGTCGGGCAATGGCCTTCAGTGCGGGTGTTCCCTGTCACCTGAGTTGCATGGCCCACGACGCACCAGCTACCTGAACGCACAGTGCTGATTTCCTGCCTGACAGCTACTCCCCTCTCTCAGGCTGCCAAGAGCTTTCCCCCCCCAGGGTCCTTCTCTTGGGTGGCTGGGTGATCCTCCACCTCTTCTGCAAATGAGCGTCGGTATATGTATAGTCTGTGGGCTTCCCAGGTGGCGCTAGTGGTAAAGAACCCGCCAATGTAAGTAGACATGAGACATGGGTTCAGTCCCTGGGTCGGGAAGATCCTCTGGAGGAAGGCATGGCAGCCCACTCCAGTGTTCTTGCGTAGAGAATCCCACGGACAGAGGAGCTTGCGGTCCATGGGGTCGCAAAGGGTTAGCAGGCATGCATGCACATATAACGTGCTTTTGGCCTAGTGGACACAAAGGAAACCTAAAGGGCTTCTTTGAAAGATGTCTTTGCTTTTAAAAGACAAGGTACGTGGGATCCAAAAGTCCCTTTTGGATCATTGGCCATAGACTAGGGTAAGATGCCTTCAGCTGTTGCTGCCATCTTGATTCCTGGAAGGAAGGTTGTCAATAAAATACATAAATGGTTGGAACGAAGAGTGGAAATGAAATGGGATGCTTTAATTAAATTGCTGTATGAAACAGTCCTGAATCTTTTCTACCTCAGGATTTCTGGCTAACCAGAATAATTCCAGTATTCCTTTGCCTTGAGAATTCTACTTGAGAATGTCTGTTATTTCTGGCCAAAAACATCTTACTTAAAACTCCAAATTCCTAGTTTGAATTTCTTTAACTTACAGTGAGACCTTAACTGCATTTATTAAGACATTCCATTAGAACAGTCTTTCCAGATTGCTATTATTTTTCCACTTTTACAACTGTCTCACTGACACCTAATTCAAGAGCAGGCGGGATATTTTTTTGGTTTTTAAGCAAGTCAGTTTTTTTTTTTTTTTTTGCAAAGCATTTGCAAAGCCTTACATTTAATGTTCATAGGGGCAGTATTTTTTTTCACACTCATATTTCATTAGTTTGTGTTTTTTTTTTAACTAAAATGCACAACTGCAATATTTGAATAATGCAGAGATTAAGAACTGTTGTTTAGCCGCTAATTGGAGAAGGAAATGGCAACCCACCGCGGTATTCTTGCCTGGAGAATCCCAGGGACAGGGAGCCCGGTGGGCTGCCGTCTACGGGGTCGCACAGAGTCAGACGCGGCTTCGCGGCAGCCGCAGCAGCAGTTTCAGTCCTAAGTCGTGCTTCTCCTGCAGAATTCCCTCAGTAAACCTCCTGCGCACACGCCCTTCCTCGGGGTGTGCGCCTGTCCTGGGAGCGGGAGGGCCCACTGAGGTGTATTCAGCGTGGCTCAGAGGGGCTCGAGGCGGGGCTGGCACTGCCCACTGCGGCGAGCGGGGCCGCCTGTGCGGCAGCGGAGGCGGTGGGTTTCATAGACACGCATCGACTCGACAGACAGTCACGGAGCCAGCCCACGCGCCCGCGAGCGCGGACGGCAGTGCGGGCCTTGCTCCGCCCGCGGCTCTCAAAGCGCGGGCTCTGGACCAGCGGCAGCAGCTCTCAAAGCGGCTCTGGACCAGCGGCAGCAGCGCCTGGGAATCTCGGAGAAATGCGGGCTCTCAGGCTCAGCCCAGACCCACTTGTTCAGCAACTCTGGGGCTGAGACTCAGGGGTCCGGTTGTTTTCTTCTCTTTTTTAATGCCATGAGTTTGCTCTGAAGTTTGAGAACACTGTACCAGGGAAGGATCTGGTTAGTTTCCTTGCTTGCTGACTTTCCGCTGTGAGCGCAGGTGATTTACTTGCTTCCCTGACGTTTCCCTTCCTCACGTGAGAAGTTAGGGGCTGACCCCCGCCTTCTGGGGGCCAACTCGGTGTGTTTTCTGCCTTGTTTTCCTTCTCGTCGCTTTTTCCTTCTTGCTTTCCTTCTCTTCCCCCCCTTTCCACCTTTCCTCACCCCCTCTCCCCTTCTTGTCTCTCCACGTCCTTCCTGCTTGCCTGCTTGTCTGACGTTTTTAACCTGTTGTGAAACATGGCTTGAATTTCACTAGGTCAATAAAGAAGACAAAACTCCCCCGCGTGCAGAACAGCTTTCAAAACACGGAGTCACAGTGAGGGGGCCGTTTGGCCACAGGGAAGTCACGGTGGACCAACGGGAACGGCAGCTTGGGACGAAGATGCGGGGACTTCAGACGCTGAGCTGTGGGGTGTTTGTAGTTTATTCTTGGCTGTGCTGGGGCTTCGTGGCCGCGTGGCTTCCCCTCGCTGCGGGAGCAGGGCCACGCTCCCGCCGCGGTGGGCGTGTCCCCCCTTCCCTGGCCTCTGGGCGTGTCCCCCGTTGCCATGGCCTCTGGGGGTGTCCCCCGTTCTCTGGCCTCTGGGCGTGTCCCCCCTTCCCTGGCCTCTGGGCGTGACCCCCGTTGCCATGGCCTCTGGGCGTGTCCCCCGTTCTCTGGCCTCTGGGCGTGTCCCCCGTTGCCATGGCCTCTGGGCGTGACCCCCGTTGCCATGGCCTCTGGGCGTGTCCCCCGTTCCCTGGCCTCTGGGGGTGTGCCCCGTTCCCTGGCCTCTGGGCGTGTCCCCCGTTGCCATGGCCTCTGGGCGTGTCCCCCCTTCCCTGGCCTCTGGGCATGTCCCCCGTTGCCATGGCCTCTGGGGGTGTCCCCCGTTCTCTGGCCTCTGGGCGTGTCCCCCCTTCCCTGGCCTCTGGGCGTGTCCCCCGTTGCCATGGCCTCTGGGGGTGTGCCCCATTCCCTGGCCTCTGGGCGTGACCCCCGTTGCCATGGCCTCTGGGCGTGTCCCCCGTTCTCTGGCCTCTGGGCGTGTCCCCCGTTGCCATGGCCTCTGGGCGTGTCCCCCGTTGCCATGGCCTCTGGGCGTGTCCCCCGTTCCCTGGCCTCTGGGCGTGTCCCCCGTTCCCTGGCCTCTGGGCGTGTCCCCCGTTCCCTGGCCTCTGGGCGTGACCCCCGTTGCCATGGCCTCTGGGCGTGTCCCCCGTTGCCATGGCCTCTGGGCGTGTCCCCCGTTCCCTGGCCTCTGGGCGTGTCCCCCGTTCCCTGGCCTCTGGGCGTGTCCCCCGTTCCCTGGCCTCTGGGCGTGTCCCCCGTTGCCATGGCCTCTGGGCGTGTCCCCCGTTCCCTGGCCTCTGGGCGTGTCCCCCGTTGCCATGGCCTCTGGGCGTGTCCCCCCTTCCCTGGCCTCTGGGCGTGTCCCCCGTTGCCATGGCCTCTGGGCGTGTCCCCCGTTCCCTGGCCTCTGGGCGTGTCCCCCGTTCCCTGGCCTCTGGGCGTGTCCCCCGTTGCCATGGCCTCTGGGCGTGTCCCCCCTTCCCTGGCCTCTGGGCGTGACCCCCGTTGCCATGGCCTCTGGGCGTGTCCCCCGTTCTCTGGCCTCTGGGCGTGTCCCCCGTTGCAATGGCCTCTGGGCGTGTCCCCCGTTGCCATGGCCTCTGGGCGTGTCCCCCGTTCCCTGGCCTCTGGGCGTGTCCCCCGTTCCCTGGCCTCTGGGCGTGTCCCCCGTTCCCTGGCCTCTGGGCGTGTCCCCCGTTCCCTGGCCTCTGGGCGTGTCCCCCGTTGCCATGGCCTCTGGGCGTGTCCCCCGTTCCCTGGCCTCTGGGCGTGTCCTCCCTTCCCTGGCCTCTGGGCGTGTCCCCCGTTCCCTGGCCTCTGGGCGTGTCCCCCGTTCCCTGGCCTCTGGGCGTGTCCCCCGTTGCCATGGCCTCTGGGCGTGTCCCCCGTTGCCATGGCCTCTGGGCGTGTCCCCCCTTCCCTGGCCTCTGGGCGTGTCCCCCGTTCCCTGGCCTCTGGGCGTGTCCCCCGTTCCCTGGCCTCTGGGCGTGTCCCCCGTTGCCATGGCCTCTGGGCGTGTCCCCCGTTCCCTGGCCTCTGGGCGTGTCCCCCGTTCCCTGGCCTCTGGGCGTGTCCCCCGTTGCCATGGCCTCTGGGCGTGTCCCCCGTTCCCTGGCCTCTGGGCGTGTCCCCCGTTCCCTGGCCTCTGGGCGTGTCCCCCGTTGCCATGGCCTCTGGGGGTGTGCCCCGTTCCCTGGCCTCTGGGCGTGTCCCCCGTTGCCATGGCCTCTGGGGGTGTGCCCCGTTCCCTGGCCTCTGGGCGTGTCCCCCGTTGCCATGGCCTCTGGGGGTGTGCCTCATTCCCTGGCCTCTGGGCGTGTCCCCCGTTGCCATGGCCTCTGGGCGTGTCCCCCCTTCCCTGGCCTCTGGGCGTGTCCCCCGTTGCCATGGCCTCTGGGCGTGTCCCCCCTTCCCTGGCCTCTGGGCGTGTCCCCCGTTGCCATGGCCTCTGGGCGTGTCCCCCGTTCCCTGGCCTCTGGGCGTGTCCCCCGTTCCCTGGCCTCTGGGCGTGTCCCCCGTTGCCATGGCCTCTGGGGGTGTGCCCCGTTCCCTGGCGTCTGGGCGTGTCCCCCGTTGCCATGGCCTCTGGGGGTGTGCCCCGTTCCCTGGCCTCTGGGCGTGTCCCCCGTTGCCATGGCCTCTGGGGGTGTGCCTCATTCCCTGGCCTCTGGGCGTGTCCCCCGTTGCCATGGCCTCTGGGCGTGTCCCCCCTTCCCTGGCCTCTGGGCGTGTCCCCCGTTGCCATGGCCTCTGGGCGTGTCCCCCGTTGCCATGGCCTCTGGGCGTGTCCCCCCTTCCCTGGCCTCTGGGGGTGTGCCCCGTTCCCTGGCCTCTGGGCGTGTCCCCCGTTGCCATGGCCTCTGGGCGTGTCCCCCGTTCTCTGGCCTCTGGGCGTGTCCCCCGTTGCCATGGCCTCTGGGGGTGTGCCCCGTTCCCTGGCCTCTGGGCGTGTCCCCCGTTGCCATGGCCTCTGGGGGTGTGCCCCGTTCCCTGGCCTCTGGGCGTGTCCCCCCTTCCCTGGCCTCTGGGCGTGTCCCCCGTTGCCATGGCCTCTGGGCGTGTCCCCCCTTCCCTGGCCTCTGGGCGTGTCCCCCGTTGCCATGGCCTCTGGGCGTGTCCCCCCTTGTCATGGCCTCTGGGCGTGGGGCAGGCTCTGGGCCGCGGGCCTCAGTCGTTCTGGTGCACGGCCTTGCCCACCCCACGGCACGTGGGATCTTCCCAGACCAGGGGGTGAGCCTGTGGCCCCTGCATGGGCAGGCGGACTCTGAACCACTGAGCCCCCAGGACGCACTCGGCTGTGGTTTGAACTCGGTGGTGAAGGCAGCGGTGGGACGGTGGTGGGCTGGGGTAACCTGCTGACCAGCAATACTGGGGCAGGTTTATCTGACTTTAATCTCCCTCAGAGGAAGAGCAAGCTTTCTGGCTGGGAATTTACTTATCTAGGCAATTAATCCAAGTAAGAGCCAAATCAGGGACTGGTATTCTAACTGCGAGGGAGAAATAGAGAAGAATCTGAGGCTTATTGCAAGGGGAAATTCCACTGGGCTGGAGGTGGAGAAAGTGGTGAAGAATGGCTCTGAGATTCTCAGTCTGACAGAATGGGGGTACCCCTGTCAGCACAGAGGAGCCAGGGGGAGCAGACGTTGCTGAAGGAGACAGAGTTTGAGGTGAGGAGGGGGCTATGGGTTCCACATTCATCCTTCCATCTGAAAGGATAGCACCCAGGAGACCACAATTCTGAAAACACCCAACATGGAAATTTCCGTAAATCTCCCTGGGAAGAGAGCTGGATGAGCAAGCTGAAATAGACATGCTTATGTATTTAAGACAAACTTCCGCCTCCAGTCACTTGTATGATGACACAGCGGTCAGTACGTTAGTTTGGGGAGAGGTTGGTATTTGGATAGCAAAATAAAAACGCCCCGAAGCATGAACAGATTCTGTATGTAGCACATTGTCCTTCTGTGTGATCATGTGTGCGTCTGCAAATGGGGTTGAGCTTCTCAGCTCAACACAGCTCTCCACAGTCGGCCTTGTGGAGTTCAAGGTCTCAGCCCACCAGACTGGACGATCCAGAGCTAAAGTGCTGGTTTGCAGACTCACTCAGAAGCTTCCCAGATGGAAGTTGAAACTGGCCCCCTCACAGGGAGTGACCTAAGAAAATGGCAGTCCCCTGCAGAGGCAGGAAGCAGCTGTAATAAGCAAGGGGACTTACCTACAAGGCTTGTCTTGGGGTGTGTTGTTCAGCCGCTCAGCTGTGTCTGACTCTCTGCGACCCCATGGACTGCAGCACGCCAGGCTTCCCCGTCCTTCACCATCTCCCAGGGCTTGCTCAAACTCATGTCCATTGAGGCAGTGATGCCATTCAACCACCCCGTCCTCTGTCTTGGGTACAAGATGAACAGATCCCTGCATCTGTCTGCCAGAACCTTACAGGTTTATACAGAGGCCTGCACTGGGTTCAGCTGGGTATTCAGTCCAGATGGTCTCAGCACCACACTGCTCTCTCAAGGCCGAGTCCTTGCAGATGGCCCCCACTGCGGGCAGGTTCGGCGGGGTGTACATTTCAAGGACGAGGGAGGGAGTGAGGCGCCTCTGATTGTCAGGGTTCCAGTTCTCCCATCAATCAGAGGTCACGTCCTCTCCAGGACCTCCTCCAACCTGAGTTCACCTCCTTGTCAGTTCCTTCTCTTTCTTTCTATTTCCCATCCATTGATATAAATGATCCAACACCCCCAGGAACTCACAGATACACTCTGTATGTATATATATTATTTAACATGTATTCAGAAACAATTTCTGTTGGCCTTGGGTCCCTCCTCAATATCCAAGATCTAATTATTTGGAACCTTTGTTTTTCTGCTATAATTTAATAAATATTTTCATTAGCCATTCCAGAGTTTTACTAGTAATGGAAAAGGACTTTGTTTCTTATCTTTAAAAAAATACACTAATAGTGACCCCTTTCTCATACCTCACGAGGTTTTCTCTGAGGATTTTTTTTTTTCCCCCTGATTGCCTGGTTCTATTGAAATAGACATTTTGGTGCCAAGGTACTTCACATCTGAATCAAAGGAAGGGAATTTGTATTAAAGATTTATCGTGAAAACCTGTTTAAAACCAATCTGATCCACATGTCAGCACTGCAGAGTTCAGGTGCTGAGTCATTTGGTCAGAGACAGTCTGCAAGGATGTTAGGAGACAGCGGTCCTGGTCTCTAGAGAGGTGGGGGAGAGACCTGCTCCGGGTTATCCCAGGGGACAATTGCTCCAGGAGAAAATGTGTTCTGGGAGCACCTGGGGCCTGGATTCTAAAATCTGAGCGTGTGTCAGCATCACGTGGAGGGCTTGTTAAAACAGACTGCTGGAACCCACGTGGAGAAGTCCTGCTTCGGTAGGCGGGGGTGAGGTTGGAGGTGATGAGTGCCCAGGTGACGTTGGTGCTGTGGTCCGGCGACAGCGCTTGGAGAACCACTGCTTAGAGAGAGAAACACCCTCCCAAAAAATGGGTTAGCCTAGGGCAGGAACAAGAAACAAGTATCTTGTGACTTTGTTCGATTTCAACCGTGCACACCTTGATTCTCCTAAAACACGACTTTGTTTACAATTTGCTCAAAAATTTCACTCTTCCTTCTCTTCTAATTACAGTCACAACAATTAACCAGAAATTGCAAACCATCCACAATGTCCCCCCGCCCTTTCCTTTGTGTTCTTGACGAGCCAGCCCATTTGCTGGCCCTCAAAAATTCCTAAGCCTCCGTCTCCTACATGTTTGTTCACCCTGCTTATACTCCCTGGAGTGCATTCTTACCCTCCTCATTCTTTTTGCCTTTCTAAGTCCAGCCTAGTGTTGAAGACTCAGCTAAATTCCTTTTCCTCCATTAAATATTTTTCAGATTAAATAACTTCTTACCCTAAACTTATCACAAACTTCTTTTTAAATAACTTTGTTATTTTTATTTTGCAAAACATTTCATTTCCACCTACTGTAGTTAGGAAAAGACCCTCAAATACTTTGATAGCATTTACTTTTCTGGTAGTCTTTTTAATCCTCAGATCTACCCTATAAGATAGACACTATCAATATATTCATTTTACAGACAACTTACCTATGTATAGTTCACTATACAGTTGACCCTTCAGCAAATTAGGTCCTAGGGAAACCTCCTGTCTAGGAAGTAGAAAATCTAAATATAACCAATAGCTGGCCCTCCACATACAGTTCCAGATCCAAAGATTCAACCAGCCACAGACAGTGTAGTCCTGCAGTATTTACTATTGAAAAATATCTGAAGAGGACCAGGGCAGCTCAAATCTGTTGTTTATGGGTCAAGTGTACTTCTAAACTCAAGTTATATGACACTGAATATATGATTTAAGCATACTTGTGTTCTCCCAAAGTTCTTCACAGCACTTTGCAAATACTAGTTCATTAAAATAATTGCTGCACCCAAGACAGTCTTCTTTGGGTTGCTATAAAGCAGAGATGATTAAATATTAAAATATGTAAGAAAGTTAGTTCTACAGGCGTCTGTGAACTAAATTCTGATTACCAGGAATAACCAATTGATTCAAGGGTACTTGGTTCTCTGTCCTCAGATCAGGATGCTTCTGCAGGGCCATTGTGGTCCAGAGCTCCTGTAGAATTGACTGAGGCCTTTTTTGAGACTGCATTGATGTTCAACTTCTCCCTTCAGACAACCCAACTTCCTTTAGTCTGTCTCAAGTCCTGATCTTAAGGAGACCCCCGTTAAACTTCCTGCACATGGATTTTCATGTCTCCAGAGTCTGCTTCCTGAAGAACCCAACCTAAGACAGAAAGAAAAGGGTATGATGTCAGAGGGAAGGTGTTCAGTTCTTTATCATCAAAAATGATGTTTGTGGTGGGTTTGTCGTATACAGCCTTTATCATGTTGATGTATGTTCCCTCTATGCCCACTTTCTGGAGGTTTTTTATTTTTTTTTTATCATAAATGGGTGTTGGATTTTTTTCAAAAGCTTTCTCTACAACTATTGAGATGATCATGTGGTTTTCATCTGTTAATTTGTTAATATGGTGTATCACATTGATTGATTCGTATATATTGAAGAATCCTTGTATCCCTGAGATAAAGCCCACTTGATCGTGGTGTATGATCCTTTCAATATACTGTTGGATTCAGTTTTCTAGTATTTTGTTGAGTATTTTTGCATCTGTGTTCATCAGTGATATTAGCCTGTAAATATCTTTTCTGTAATATCTTTGTCTGGTTTTGGTATAAGGGTGATGGTGGCCTCACACAATGAATTTGGGAGTATATATGTATAGAGTGAGAATCATATATGATTTATCATCATATTGGAGTTTATCAGGTATCATCTCAGGGAACTGACTTAATCTCTTGGAGCCTATTTTCTCATCTCTGAAGAGTGATTTTATTCTGATTTTGAACAGCCCTACCATAGCATTGGACACAATGCAGGAGACCGTGGGGCCTGGAGGCCTAGGACTGGTTGAATCAATGCAAGCGCTAATCTAATCCCTCCCAGATGTGCTTCTTATTCTTTATGTTGATACACTTGGTCTAGATTTGTGTTGAAGTTTCCTCTTAAAGAAGCCATATAGATTCCAAGTTACTCAGTGTTTCCTGGAGTGAGATTGCATGGCAGCCTGGGATTCGCAAATCTTCACCTTGGACAATGATGGTTATGTAACAGCCCTGACCCCTGTGTCTGGGCAGCTTCCAAAGCCTAGAGACTCACTCTTAGTTCAGTCCCAGCATTGGCGTTAGCCTACCCTGCTAACAGCCTCCCTGAGCCCAGCCTTCTCTTTCTAGGATCCAATTTAATTGTTATGGCACTTTATTATAAACCACCATTTTAGAAAGTGTTAGACTCTGTGGACATGAGTTTGAGCCAGCTGCGGGAGTTGGTGATGGACAGGGAAGCCTGGAGTGCTGCCGTCCATGGGGTCACAAAGAGTCGGACGCGACTGAGCACCTGAACTGAACTAGACTAAATGGAATTTGATCTCCAAGATTCTGAACTCTTAGAAAAACCTCCGATCCTGAATCTTTCCTAAAACTTGTGTGCATGCTCTGTCACTCAGCTGTGTCTGATTCTCTGCGACCCCATGGACCAAAACTCTCCAGTCTCCTCTGACCATGGAATTCCCCAGGCAAGAATACTGCAGTGGGTTACCATTTCCATCTCCATTTCATTAGCTTAACTTGCATTAAATAGGATCTTCATTTTGATGACCTTAAATTCTCAGTGTCCCCCCAAACCTTTATCCATCACTCACTTTTGTGCATTTATAGCATTTTCAGCTCAACCTCTATCTTCAGCTCCCACGCTGTGAGTTGACCCTAAACACTAGCTCCCCGGTATCTAGTCCTTAACTATGTCCCAGGCATCACATGCTTTACAACAGGAGTTCACAAAGGGTGGTTCTGCAGACCAGGAGCCACGGCATCACTGCAAAACTTGTTATTAGGAATACAAATTCCCAAAACCCACCCAAGATCTAACAGATCAATAACTCTCGGGGTGGGGATCAGCAAACTATGTTTTGAAAAATACTCAGGTGATTTGAGGGTACTTGCTTTAGTCTGAAAACCACTGCTTTACCCACAGTAGCTTATTTTATTACAAAAGCCCAACACTAAAGGGTGTTGTTTAGTTATTAAGTCATATCCGCCTCTTTGCAACCCCATGGACTATAGCCTGTCAGGCTCCTCTGACCATGGGATTCTCCAGGCAAGAATACTGGAGTGGGTCGCCGTTTCCTTCTCCAGGAGTCTTCCTGACTCAGGGATTGAACTCACATCTCCTGCGTTGGCAGGTGCATGACTTACCACTGAGCCACCTGAGAAGCCTGAGACGAGGTTACATAGCCTCGTTCCACTTCTCGATGAAAAAGTAAACAAAGGCTGACAGGATAACCGTGCACAGTCTCACGCGGCGCCGGTGGCAGCGCGGCCAGCGAAGCCCAGGGCTGGGAGCTTTGAGAGTCCCTCCTCTCCAGATCTGCTCCGCGAAACCCCCACTTGGCTGACCCCCCATCAGTCACTCTGCTGGTGACTAACTCGGGGAAGCCATGCCGCTTGCTTTCTTTGGGCACCAAGGTCTTTGAATACTGCTGGGAGAGTAACCAATGAAAATGCTGATTGTATTTCACTATAATAAATGTATACTTTTACCCCAGAGTCTATACGCGTGTGGTGGGATCACTTCGTGGTTTTTCTTTACATCTCCGTGGACTTACCACAGTATCTCTGCTACAGCTTGTTCCAAATGCTTTCTCCGATGTCCTAGCTCGCAGCTCTATTTCTGGCCGATCACAGGGTCTCGGTAGAAGGCTCATCTCTGTTTCCTTGGACAACACAGGTGCAAGATAAGGAGAGCCTTTCTCACTTCTTGATGCGGCACTGTAAAATCTTGATACGTCTTGTTCCCACCGTCGTTCTTGTTTCTGAGGAACAGGTGACCCTCTTCTCTGCTGAGATTGCTCTCCTGCACTCCTGGCTCACTCGAGGCTTCTCCTTCCAGCTACTGCTCCATCAGTTCTTCCTTTCTCTCCCCTGGAACTCCTCCCTCACCTGTGGTCCCTCACCCCCATCCACAGAGTTGGTTTGGACTTTCTGTTGCGTCAGAGGAATAGCTTTCTCAATTCTGTTACAAGCCCTCTTCCCCCAGTTTCTCTTTTTCATCTTCAGCGGATAGAGTATCCTTTAAAGAAACTGGACTAACATCCTTCTTTAATTCCTTTGCCACTCAGGATACCTTTCTAGTACAAAAATTCTCGAGTGTAATCAATGAACTCTTTTAAACCCCATCACTTCCTAAAACAAAATCAAAAGTTTTCCCAATGTGTATTAATATTTCCCCTTTAAGCTATCTGGGCCATCTTTTACCTGTATTCATCTCTGTCACAAAGCGTTGCCCTGACTTGGCGTCTACAACATTGGAATAGCAGAACGCACATAGCCATCTCTTCTCATGTTTTGAGTTGTGATTTGGTTGTATTCTTCTTTTTCCCACTGAATTATTAATTTATTCATTCAATGAACATTTCTAGAGCCTGTTGTTGTTATTCTCTAAGTCATGTCTGGCTCTTTGCGGCCCCATGGATTGCAGCACGCCAGGCTTCCCTGTCTTTCACCATTTCCTGGAGTTTGCTCAAGTTCGTATCCATTGAGTCAGTGATGTTATCTAACCATCTCATCTTCTGCCCCCCTCTTTTCCTCCTGCCTTCAATCTTTCCCAGCATCAGGGTTTTCCTAACGAGTCGGTTCTTCACATCAAGCGGCCAAAGTATTGGAGCTACAGCTTTAGCATCAGTCCTTCCAATGAATATTCAGGGTTGATGTTCTTTAGGATTGACTGGTTGGATCTCCTTGAAGTCCAAGGCTTACTGTGTACCAAATAGTTAGGTGTTGGGGCTGTAACAGTGAGAGTGATGCGTATGCCCCTGCCCTCTCAGACCCTACAGGAGAGAGCAAAAAATGTCAGTGAGAAAACACTGAAGCGTCCTCCCCAGGCCTCACAAGTCCTTTATGCAGAGCTCCACCCATCCCCTGTGAATCCACGTTTTACAAGTGGTGACCCTTGGGAACAGGGGAGGTCACAGAGCTCCAGGCTTCTCTCCTGAGCACTTTGATTCTGTCTCTCCTCCACCTCCGAAACTACACATTCTCCCAATCATTTTCCGTCCTAGACACATCTCAGGTTTCTCAAACGTGGGAGCCAGCACAAGCTCTTGTGCACAGCCCGTTTCCCCAGAGCAAGGCTTGAGTTTCTAACTGTGTAAGCACCCCTGCCTGAACATCTGCCCGAGGCTCTGACTAGAAGTGTCTGCAGAGTTCAGCTCATGGCAGTGGTGGTTTAGTCCCTCAGTCATGTCTGACTCTCTGCGACCCCATGGACTGTAGCCCACCAGGTTCCTCTGTCCATGGGATGTCCCAGGCAAGAAGACTGGAGTGCGTTGCCATTTCCTCCTCCAGGGGAATCTTCCCAACCCAGGGATCGAACCCTGGTCTCCTGCACTGCAGACAGATTCTTTAAGTATTCGTTCATTGCCAATAAATAAATAAATAAATAAATAAAAATAAAACCAAACCACTGAAGTTTCCCTTCTTGATGACTCAATTCTTTTTATTTTTTAAGATTTTTTTTCATGTGGATCATCTTAAAAGCCTTTATTGAATTTGTTACAATATTGCTTCTGTTTCGTTTGTTGGTTTTCTGACTGCAAGTCACGTGTGTTCTTAGCTCCCCACCCGGTTTGGACCTGCAGTCTGTGCCCTGGAAGGGGTGGTGTTAACACTGGACTGCCAGGGAAGGCCATTGACATCTCAGTTCGGTGTCCTGAATTTTTCAGTCCAGACGCAGAACCACAGAGAGCTCTTGAACAAATCACACAATGGCTGCAGCCTGGTAAGCATGTCTCAGAAACGTCTCCTTTGAAATCAAACCTCTGTCTTTCACTTCCCGCCAGTGTTCTCACCAGTCCTTCCTCAGGACCCCTTACCGATGGCTTCCACTGCCTCCCGTTCTCTCTATAGCTCTGCCATCATCTGATTCTAGGTCTTATCAACTTGTTATATCAGATCAGTTTTCTAGACTAGCCCTCGAAGGATGTTTCTTAGCATTTTCTTTCTAAACGATGGTGTGTTTGTGGGGTGGTCACTGCTGGCTCCCCTGGTGGCGCAGACAGTAAAGAATCTGCCTGCAATGTGGAGACCTAGGTTCGATCCCTGGGTTGGGAAGATCCCCTGGAAGATATGATGGCAACCCACTCCAGAATTCTTGCCTGGAGAATCCCATGGACAGAGCAGCCAAAAAGAGTGACGCGGCTGAGCGACTAAGCAGAAAACTGCTGGCTGGTTTTTAGAGCTTCTCTTGAGAAGAGAGAGTTGCAAGTTACAGTCTTCCTGGACACATTCACTAGTACTAGTAATTATTAAGGACAATAATGAGAGCCTCCACCTGTAGAGCGCTTTATCTTTTTGCACCATTTGGCTTCCACAGCATCCTAAAATCCCAGGGCAAACACTGCGTGCTTTAATGACCTGTGAGTCCAAGTCATCTTACAAACAGTGGCTCAGCTGAGATCAGAAAGCGGGTTCCTTTAGTTGTTCCTCCCTGTTTTGTCACTTACAACGTGGCCCTTGGATCAGCAGCCTCTGCCTCATAATTAAGCACACAGAACCTCCAGCTCCATTCCAGTTCAGTTTGGGTTTGGGCTTGAGGGGGACTCCTGGGTGATTCCCCCGCACAGTGAAGTTCCGGAAGTGCCCCCCAGGTCCTCGACCTGGGCAGCCAAGGGTGCGTTTCACACTCTCTGCCTGGAGTCAGGGAGCGGGAGGCAGGGGGCCGGGAGGCTGGGGGCGGAGGAGAGGACGTGTGCCCCTCAGAGGGATGAGCAGGCGGGATTTCTGGGGACAGACGGGGTTCCCTGCGGATCTGCAGTAGCTTCACCCCGTCACTTCGTGTCTGCGCTGAGGAGAGAGGGAGAGCGGGGAGTGTGGCGGGCTGGGGAAAGGGGAGTGGTCCTCAGGTGCCTGCAGGCCACCCCGAGGATAGAGGACCCGAGCGCGCGGGAGGAGAGGCGCGCTCGGCGCCGCGCGGGAGCTCGTCCCCACTGTCTCGTTCCTGGATGAGTCCCTCCGCCCCGCGCTCGCCTCCACTCCACGAGCCGCTCACTCGCTGACAGCCAGCCCCGGCCTCCCGCGCGCTCCTGGCTTCCCCGCGGCTCCCTCGCTCGCTCCCGGGCCCCGGGGCGCACCTGGGCCGGGCCGCGCGGGAGAGAGGCGCGCTGACCGCACCTGCCGCCCGCGCCCGGGGCCGCTCTCCCGGCGCGCCGGGCCGTCCCCAGCCGCCGTGCGCCCCGGGGACCCCACCTCGGCGGCCGCCCCCACCCCCGATGCCTGGGCCGGGGCGCCGGGCTGCGGCCGGCAGGAAGATGAAGGGCTCGGCGGGAGGAAGGAGAGAGAAGCCGCTGGGCTCGCCCCCGGCACCGCCCGGCCCCGGTAAGTTGAGCGCCCGAGCGGCGGCTGGGGAGTTGGCGGGGGTGCGGGGCCAGGCGCCGGGGTGCGCCCCCGCGGGGTGTATTTGTACGCGGTCGCCTGCCTGCCGGGGACCCCCGCCGCCACCCCGTCCCCGCTCCGGCAGTCCCCACGGAGAGGCGACGCGAGTGGGGAGTGCGGAGCTCCAGGGTCTCCGGACCCAGAGGCTGCCCAGGACCAGGGCGTCGGGGGCAGCGGAGGGGCGCAGGGGCAGCCTGGCCCGGCCATCGAGCGCGGGCGGGCTCGCCGGGCTGGACGCCGCCGCCCGTCTCCAGCGGGGCGAGCGCGGGGCGCGCTCCCTCCTCGGGCAAGCGGCGAACTTGTTGGGATAAGAGAGCAGCAGGCTGGCTGCCCCTCCGCTGCCTGCCTCTCCCCGAGAGAAGCTGTTGAGCTGCAGGAAGCCTCGCTCCAGGGGCAAGGTTTCGGCTTTCAGAGGGGTGGGGGGCCGAGGTCATATGGGCGCCCTGGATGGCATCCACCTCCGGGGCCCCCGGACGCAGTTAGAAGTGAGCGCGGGGGTCTGCGGTGCCCGGCCACTTCTTGCCTTTTGGGAGAAGTTTTCTTGTGCGTGCAAACTGGGGTCCAGAGGGAAAAGAGCCGCGCCCAGAAAGGAGTCCCCCGCGGTGAAAGCCCGGTTCCGGATCTGCGACCCTTACGTTTAGACCTGGCCGCATCGTGCGAGTTTCTGGAGGAAAGGCCGTGTCCTCCTTCGGCCCGAGCTCGGCTGGACTAGGGAGGAACGTGCCCCTCCTGCATGTTAGCCTCCCCAAGACCTGGAACCCTAAACCGACTTCCGAGACGCCTTCTGTGTGTGGGTGTGACGGACCCTGCAACTGGCGCTTTTCTAGGACAGTCCCGTGCTGCTTTCTGGAAATGCGATGAGGAAATGTTTCTTCTTTTGAGGCAGTTTGCTAGTTGGTCTGTTAAACGTGACTTTCAGTGTCGGCTTCAGTCCGGTTCGCCGTGTCCCCTGCGATCCTCTGAAGACTGTCGGTCCCTCTGGGTTTTCGTGCGACCCCCCGCCTTGTCCTGGATAACTCAGGCCCTGGTCTCTTGTCTCCAAGCGTGAAAGGCAGATGTGGGTCATTTCGAATTATGGAGATTGATGCAGCCCAGCATGGCTGGGTTCTGTTGCAGTTTCTTCTCGTCTCCTTGATGTTCCTCAGAAATGAACTTGCACCCTTTGGGAATGCAGCTAGAATATAGACTGGGGGATAAACACATATCTTGAGTTGGTGTATCATCTTAGATTTAAATAAAGGACGTTTGGAAACTCTCTGGCATAGGAGAAAGTGACTTGAGCCAAAAGTTAGGACTTTTGGACTATTTTGCTCTGTGACAAAGCGGCCGAAGGCCCTTTGGGGTCACTTAATAGTAATAGTGACATCAACTTTAGTAGCGGTAGTAATGACATCTAACATTATTCCCCATTCACTGCACACCAGGCTGTGTATTCAAGGCTTTATTGCGGCTGCAAACATCCCAAGAAGGCAGCCCCTTTTCCATCTTCACTTTGTGGGTAAGGAAAAGCAGGCTTCAGAGATAAATTTGGGAAAGGTCCAGAGTCAGTGTTTGGGAACCCAAGACCGCTGGACTCCAGAGTAGTTCCATTACCAGGACTTCTTTGAGACTCCTTTGAAAAGTGGGAGGACAACCTCTACATTCCAAGTCCCCGGAAAAATTACTCAGGTGATGACAATATCATGGATTGATTCATCCACAGCTATTTCAGATGTATTTTTATTATAACAGGTGTGAAGCTTGTGACTTGAAATCACAGAGACACAACTGCGTAGCATATATTTAATTGCACCTGCCAGCTCTAGAGAGGTCTAAATGACGAGCTCTTGGTATTTACCTTGATGACAGTCCTTCCTTGAGCCCTGTTATTATCAATCAGTTATAGAACTGTATTATAGCCCTTCTATTAGAAGTATGTGATTTAATATAACATCAAGCATATCTTTGAATGAATCTGTAGCATTATCCTGTGGTGTACCTGGACATTCTCATATTTCAGTCAGCTTATAATTAATGCTCAGATCCTAACAGGATGTTGAATTTAAGAGACACTAACAGCTTGTTTTAAAGTTTCATCTTTATTTCCAGCAGTATTTCCAAAACAATTACACCCCTGCTGTGATTTGCTATTTACTAGGTGTATCAAAAGTTTAATAATGAAACATGTTTGCAATTCAACAGAACACAATGTTTCATCTATAATAACAACTCTGGCTAAAAGATTCACGGCTAATTTAGGGTTGTTTTATTTGAAATTTAATTAAGAGGTTGAGTTTCTTATTGCACTGCAAAGCGTATGCAGTTAGCTGAGTACACATCTTGCGTTATTACTTGTCGTCTCCAAATTTATAAACTCATTGCCTGTGACTTCTTCAGATCAGTTATGTCAATCCCTGTCTAGAGATTTTGAGTTCTGTTTTGTTTTTTAAACTAAGAGCAAGAGCACCGAGTAAGATGTGTTTGTTATGTTTCTTCACATAACACATAAGCTGTTGTTATGCTTGTTTGGGGAATAGTGATAAATTACAGATCTGATTTGGCTGTACATATGGAATTTTCAAATAAAAGTGTATCAATCCATTGGGACACTGTGCCATTAATATTTCAGAAGTGGGAGCAGCTTTGGGAAGGAGAGGATCTCTGGGGAAGATCTTTTACTATGTTTCATTGCATTTGCATGGTATCTTAATCTTTTCAAATAAACTGACATTGCAGTGTACCAGTAAACTAATGGTTATTGCCATAGCTTCTCTATTGTTTGAGAGTTAAATTGTATTTTCTAGTAGTAATTTAACATCACATGATATATACATTGTTGTCTTTTGATATAGTTGAAGTCTTAAACACATATTTTGCCTACTGAAAATAATACATTTCTGAATATGTAAGCATTTTATCAGGAGTATAAAAATAGAACCGTAATAACTTGCCTAGAGGTTTTGTTTGTTTTTGAAATAATGAGGTTGTTATAGAGGCTAGCATATTTAACCTTAGAAGTAAAATATTGAAACTAATTATAAACTTGAATTGTTGAATTGCAAAGTATTTTATGACAGTGGGAGTCTTATAAATGAGTTAACCTTATAATTGCATGAACATGTCCTCCTGTGTTTTTAAAATTCAATATTTGCATAGTAAGACTAATCGGTTTTTATATTATCTGGTGATTTGAACAATCAGATATCTGAAAAGTGACTTAAACTCCATAAGCATCAGAGTCACACTGGCATCACAGTTTGAAGAAACTAATATTGGGGAAGGATATGTAATTTTGAATGTTTCAAGAGCTGAGAACTCAAGGTGGATGACACTTCTTAGTTTTTTGACAAGGGCTCTAAAGTGAGAGTTTGAATAAAATGAAGCCCGTAGGTTGACAACCAAGCAAGCACTTAAATAACCTCTTAGGAAACCTAGATCAGCTCAAATCGAGTGCAGGCTGAGAATTCTTAAATATAATTAATCTTTTGAACCAGTGAATAACACATTGTAGATCAATTTTAAAATTCCAGTACATTAAAAATGTATTAATTTGTATCTTCTAGGGCCTACTAAAATTAGCAATCACTCCCTTTCTGGAATAACCCAGCCTTAACTTTAAAAGAACAACTGCAATGAGAAAGAAATTTGAGGATACTGAGAGGCTGAGATGAATCAGATTCCTTCACCGTCTTTATTCCATTTTAAATGTAATTTTTAATCCCACCTACGTAATTCTAGACCACTTTTAGAATTCTGTCTAGGCTGAAGCCTCTCTTACTCCTAACCTGCTGATGGACAGGGAGAGGATGTTAGAACACAGTCCTAGATTGGAAGAGGGACGTCTAGACAACTTAATGGCTTTATTGCATTACCTATAGTGTCATCCAAATTAGCAAGCAGACAGCACTTCTATATAGGTGTTTTAAGTGAGAAGTTTGCCATGAAGGTGTCCTTACTTTCCTTCCATGCAGTTGTGTAGCCCATATTCAAGCAGTACTCATCTTGGAATATCCTGAGTTTAACCCAATCTGTCTCCATGAGAAGAAAATATATTACAGTTTAGCATTAGAGAAGTCTATTTGAGGATTTCCCCAAGAGTTCCTCATAACATGCGGTCAGATGTTCTCAATTTAGTTTTCATGTGATCTTGTCATGTGTTCTTTTTTATATCTAAAGAGGTATTCACCACTATTTTATAATGTGTTATTAAAATTATTAGAGATTTCTTTCTCCTTTAACAATTTCTCATCTACCCTCAAGAAATGAAAGAAAAGTGAGTGAATGTTCTTATAATATCTTTACTTCCACTTAAACAGAGGAATACACACAAAACTCTAGAAGACATCTTGAAAAATTGAGATTTTAAATTGCATTTTGTTGAGAACAACTTCTGAGAGTTTAGCCTGGGTACCAAATCTATCCAGATCAACAAGAATTTAAAGAACAGAGATTTAAGCTGCTGAATTGATTCTCAGGTGGTTACATATTTTACACTCATAGTAAAATATGACATTAAACTCACAGAGACAAAATAGTAGATTAACAAGTAACATTTAAGAGCATGAACTCAAGAAATAGGATGCCTGGGTTTATCTCCTGTCTGTTCCTTAAAAGCTGTGGGAATTTAACGAGCTTTTTGTACAGCTCTTGGACTCCACATCCCCATCTATAAAATGGTGATAATAAACAGTCTATCACATAGGTGGATTGAAGGCTTAATGAGATATATATATGTGTGTGTGTGTGTGTATATATATATACACACACATATATGGTGCTTTAATATTTGAAGCACATATAAAGTGCTTCAAATAGTGTCCAGTACAGAGTGAATTTGCCATTGATGTCAATTGTTTTTAATCATCTTCATATATGTTTCCTGTGACTGCTGAACCAGATGTCCGCCAGCGTGTTAGCTTAAAACATCAGAAATGTATTCTCTCCCAGTTCTGGAGGTCAGAAGC